TGGGATAAAAAGGAACTATTCAATATAGCAGCAATGAAACTCAGAAAAGATGCTCTAGAATATTTTAATGCTTCAGGGTGTAAAGTATGGAAGGATTTGGTTCGCTGTTTGAAAGAACGTTTTGGCTCGCAAGAACCTAGGGCCATTACACGCAGGAAGATGAATGCTTGCTGTCAAAAGGCAGACGAGTCCCCAATAGTATTTGGGCAAAGGTTGAGAACGCTTATGAGTAGAGTACAGCATGTTTCTGAAAAAGCAGACCCTAAAATAAAGAAGGTATTCGATGAGACTCTGATGGATCGTTTTATCGATGGCCTCCAGGCCAAGCTTCGCAGGTTAGTAATTTCTCAGAAGCCCAAATCTTATAAAGCAGCACTGGAAATAGCCAGTTTTGAATATGAACTGGAAGAAATAGAGGGGAAAGCAAGAAGTAAGGTTATGGTAGCACAACCCCCAGTACCCGGCGTGACCAGTAATCCCCCAGTGAAAACGTGTTTTCATTGTAAGGCAGCAGATCACCTGATCCGAGACTGCCCAGTAAAAATTAGTAATATGCCACAAATGGAAAAGCAAATGGAAAGTAAGTTTGTACAAGGAAACCTGAACCCCGGCCCTGATCAAGGGATGCGAGGAGTTGCAGGGAATGGTAGCTACCAGGACAATGTGAGATTTCAAGGGAATCAGCAAGGAAATCAAGTTTATCAGAACAATGCAGTGGGAAATAATGGATATAACAGGCAAGTGAATAGTAACAATAATAGTGGATTTGAACAGAGTTCGCAAAATATGCAGAGAAGTAATAATACTTGTTATCGATGTGGAAAGGCTGGGCATTTTGCAAAAAATTGTTTTACAAACAGCTACCGCCCTCAGGGCCCGAGTGCGGTAGGCACCAATATGCAGGATCAAAGAGGCGCCGCCTCTGGGCTGGCTCCAGGGGGGTTTACTCAAAGAATTCAGAAATGTCACCTTTGCAATGGTGTTAAATTTCATGCAGTAAATTGCCCAGCCGCCACTCCAGTGCGTCAAGTTACAGCATATAACCCCCCTCA